AAGATTTCGTTGAAATTAAATGACATATTTTCATTCCTGGCGTTCCACAATTCGTGTGTTTTAGTCATCTGAGAAACAATTTTTCTAATGAATGGCAAGAAAGCTGAAAACTTCTAAAAGAAACTACTGTATATATCTGTGTGAGTGCTGGAATTCCAAATGTATACTCACGCATATAGTAATATTGATTTCTTCAGCCTTCCATTAGAGAATTTCCAAAGAAGGTCGGTTAATGTGGTAGCCATGAACAAGTATTTACTATTCAGAAACCGTGCGGTCCATGTTTCTCCACGCCGCAGTCGTCAAATGACAGTTTACGTAAATCTCTCGTTTAACCATTCGATAGAACGAGTCTTAACGATCGACTGGGAGCACTTAAAGGCGAACGCTAGACAAAATACAAGGATTTTACATACCCTCATGTGGCTGAAGCCTTCCAAAAGGCCGGTGGTTAATGTCAGATAGAGAGAGAGAGAGAGAGAGCTGGAGAGAGGATTAAACACCCCCCAGTAAACACACTTCGCCACATACCAGTGCATGCACACCATGGTATGGTGAACTTGAACGATTAAATACTCACGAAAGTACATTCTCGCGTTTTCGGTTTCAAACGTACAATCGAACGTTCAAGTTGCCATATAGTTCTGATCCTTCTGCACTTTATTGATTACCTTAACAATTTCTGCTTGTTTCACTTCTCAGGTCTGTTTTTCTTTGAGAGAACGCAGTGGAAGTTATGAAAAGGAAAGTTTTAAGGAAACAGCTGATACCAAAATAGCCAATTTCCGCTATTTCATCACGTCTTGACCGCTCCGCATTGGTAAGTCACAGAGAGAATAAAGAAATGCTAGTCGTGGTTGATTTATAGAGAGAAATGGCAATAGAAATTCAATAGAGTTAACACTTCTAAATAAAAATATACTATACATAATAAAAAAAACTCGGAGAAAAGCAACTACATGCCAATATCATATGTTTATATTGCAAGTTTGAATTATTTTGTGTGGGCGACGTCAGCTGTTTCCATAACAACGTGTTAGGTGCGAAAAGAATGATACAATAATCAGTCGCAAACACTGTAAAAAGTAGTATCACCTAAAATATAAAGATTTAAAATCAACTAATTAATGTTTATTTCGTAAATATTTTGATTTATAGGTAGAAAAATTATCCGATATATGTAAGTTGTAGCTAGCATAGGTGGCACCGCTGTTTCTGGTGTGGAAAAGGTTCTAAATTTATTATATGTGATTAGACCTGTTACAAAAAACATTTTTAGATCTTCCAGTTTCATAAAGACACACAAGGTTTTTTTCTTAGTAAACTTAATAAACTAGAACTTGTATTATCTGAGAATATAATCCAAATTAAGAGGGAATAAAATGTACATACAAATATTAGAACAGAAAGAAAGGCAACAGATAAGCCATTAATGAATGAATCCAATGGTAAATTGATTGACTGCGGATTTTTGTTTTTAGCTTCGCTGGCTTTTGGCGTTCAGTATCGTGAAATTAAAGCTGTAATGTGTTTGCAGCATTTTGAAACATACATTTTTTTGTTTGCCATAAAAATGGAGTCTTTTTTTTTTTTTACGAAAATAGGTGCGAGTCAAATTAATAACGGGTCCGCACCTGTAAAGTCATCTGGCAGTAAATGTGTACAGCGCAGAACTGTAAAACTATTATGATCAGTCTTGCTACAAATAAAATGCTTCCACGTCCGTTAAAACTCAAGTCTTGAAATGCAGATTTCTTTTGAAACTCTCACAAAGAAGCAGAAAACTAAGCACCTTTCTAGTTTTGTAGCAGGTGTGAACGATAAGGATATGAAACACAAACAATCCGAATGAATCTTAAATGCATATCTATAAAAGCATAAATATTGTCATACCGTTTTCAGTATTTATCGTGGTAAATAAAATAGGACCATGTTCTAACTAAGATGTTCATTTTTTTTAAATGCTGAAGAACTAAAGTTTCAACAGCTAAACGATAATTCGGTTAAAATGTTTTGTTTACTTAAATTGTTTCGATAAAAGTTGCCCTATCCCTGGGTTTATATACTTTCTTCAGTAAATCAAATCAACAGAAATCTTTTCAAAAATTAACAAAAAATGGTTGCTCAAGAGTTCTACATTTACATACTAATAGGTCTCAGAAAATAAGCACAAAAACGTCTTACCAGTATTTTGAAACTGTTGAAAGTTTTACGCGAGTGTTAAAACAAATATAATATAACTGTACCACGTTTTGAGCTAGTAAGGAGTCTTGTTTTGCGATTTTTTTTCCTACAGAGAGCAAACATTGGTTAACTTTGTCAATATTTGAACACAGCTGGCAAAGGAAATTAATCAGAGCCCTACTCTTAAAATGCGTCCAAAACACGTTTCACACTAGTGCATTGAGTATTTTTTTCGAAGAAGAATTGAAGAGGAAAAGCTTTGGTGTGAAAGATGGTAGCAATAACATGCAAGCTAGGAATTGCTGATTAACGCTGGCGTGAGGTTATTATCGAAGAACGACCTTTTTTTTGTAAATTCGAGCACCATACATGAAAGTATGGCATTTATTTTATGAACAGATCAAACTAAAAGGAATTTCAAGGAAATGAATATGTTTTAATGACTCATTTTTAGAACTATTCGACGTGTTATTGTTTTCTTTAAAACATAGGAACAAATTGTCCTAGTTCTGCTCTTTGTAAAACTTGCTCTCCCCACCCCACTCCAGCCCCTCAGCGGTAACTTTAAGGCTTGCGAAGCTAAAAATTGGGTTTTCATACCCGTGGTTGGCATAGCACAGACAGCCCATTGTGCGGCTTTGTGGTTAAAGACAACTAAATCAAAACCAAATTGTGCAGCTTAACGGAAACTCGCATGATAGCATTTTATGACATCACTGTAAATTTTATCATCAAACTTTATGAAGTTCTTTTATATTTTTAAAATTCATTTTCCTCAGAGACAACATCTACTTTAGTATTCTTGACAAAGAAGCATGATAAGGTGTTATGGCAGAGGGTGTTCGCCAGAAGTCAACAAGTTAAGGGTCTTCTCAACGCATTCTCATTTTGTCTGCAGAGTACTCTTTTTTTTCCCTCTACCTATTTTGGTGATTTTATCTTTGTGCTGATTATGTTATCACAAAACCAAATTTTTCTCGATCGGCAGGATGAATAAAAGTGTAGATTAAAAAGTAAGACTGGAAATTGTAAGATACAGATGTATTGTGTAATAAGAAAACTCTGCAAAAGGGTCAAATTTGGTAGAAAATGAGGTTTTGATAAATCCGTGTATATCGAAATAAATGAAGTAATGATATTGAAATGAAATCCTATTTATTTTTGGATTTCAGCACTTCACAATAAACATGGATAACCATAAACCAATGAAACGTAAAAGCCAGCGAGACCACATATACGTTTTTGTTTCTTGTGAAGAAAGGGTTATTATTAAGATTAATACATGAAGGAAAGGTGAAAAAGAGATAAATAATTAATAAAATACGCCTATGAATAAACAGATGAAAATATTAAAATAAATGAGTGCAAGAAAAAACTAATTTTGAAACATGAGAAGAACATTTCAAAATTAGAAAAGGAAAAACCAACACTCACTAGATTAATAAAGGCCAACAATCTAATGTGACTGTTTTGTTGAATTTCGCTTAAAGCTACTGGAGGGTTTTCTTTGTAAGTCGCCTCTTTTCGAAATGATAGACTAAAGAGAGGGCAGCTAATCATCACCAGTCTTTATCAACGGATAGAGAGATTGACCGTCACCTTATAACGCCCCCATGGTTGTAAAGGCAAGTATGCTCGGGAAAGAGTTTCGACACATAGGTTGGGAGACAAGCGCCCTAACCAGTGCCACAGACCACGTTATAATGTGTATGGCAAATTAAGACTTGATATAGCTTCTTCCATTGGAGTGTTCTGAATTTTTGGAAAACTTTTGTAAAGCACTTACCGGTGATGATTAACTACTATTTCAAACAATGTTGAAGCTCAAAACATAGCAGGAAAATAACAGTTGTGTTTGTTTTCTTCAATATAATGTATTTTTTGCTAAAGGTGTTACTGGAAAACAAAGAATAACAAGAAACAAACAATAAAAACCGCCTTTCCTAAACAAAACAATCATAGCTAAAACTAAAAACACTCATAACTTTTTTTCTCAAGAAGAAGAGTTCATATATTTCACGTTCTTAAAAACTTAATACTTTGGTTAGAATAAAAACAACAACAGTAAGCAGCATGTAATTTTAGGTATAAACAACCCATTAGGGAATACTTCTTGTGATTTAGAAGACTTTTAAAACGCCCATAAAAACAGCAAAACTGAAAATGCATAACTGATAATTTTTATATGGACCCAATGAACCTCTATACCACAAGTATGGTACACAGTTTAGTACACTATGTGAAACATTTAGATATTTGGCAAGAAATTGAATTTTCATATGAAGAATTTGAGTCGTTTTTATCATACAAGCACCAAAGGTTTTTAGGGCATCTTACAAAATTTATTTATGCGTATAAATAAATAAATATATATATATATGTATGTAAAGGACAGTAATATGTGTTGAGTGTAGTTCGGAAACAGAAATCATCATAAAAATGTTTATTTTCTAATATGATTTGTTTAAAGTTTCTGTATCTTAAGACACCGTGCCTTATATTGTATATATAATGAGCATTGTTCAGTAAAAATAAAAGCTAAATGTTAAAATATTTACTCTGGTTTATTTGTATTTATACAGAAATTTATCAACTAAAGTTGTTGTTTTTTTGGGATATCCGCGCGAGGGTATTCAAGATCTATCTAATTTTAAACTTATAGAAGACGACAGCTGGTCACAAACACACACCGCCAAAGCATGCACTAGTCTAATCGTACAGATGGATTTGACCGTCGCCACATGGCCCCAAAGTGCAGATCGCGATTATTTTTCCGGCAACGGAACGCGAAACGCGGACATTCGAATCCAGTCCAGAAAACTAAACACTCTCGTCCAATAGCATAATCAAGCTGTTTCATCTACTTTTTTATTCAAGTGTTCGGCAAGCATTTTATAAAAGAGCTTGTAAGTTGTTTTTGTTGTTTGTTATTGAACACAAAGGGCTATCTGTACTTTGCCCACCATGGGTATCGAAATCCAGTTTCTAGCAGTAGAAGTCGAGCTTATAAGTTGTTTTTGTTGTTTGTTATTGAGCACAAAGGGCTATCTGTACTTTGCCCACCACGGGTATCGAAATCCAGTTTCTAGCAGTAGAAGTCGAGCTTATAAGGGACATAATATTATGCAATTAATTACAATAAAAATCAATATAAGAACGTAAAATAAAAACAGCAACAACAACTAGTGTTCCAATCATTCTATACAGAGTAACCCTGTGCTTCGTAAATACCAATCCTGTTACTACTTACACGTAGAAACTCATATAGATCATATACTTCCACATTTCCCACATATCCACTCATTCCGTTTATATTCCAAAATGTTCATTACACACACTCATACTATATTTTATAGTATACCTTTACCATACCTAAAAAAAATAAAATGAATCATCTATGTTCATACTTATTATATATGCACGTTCAGAGGTATGCGTCAAGTGACGGGTCGTAAGTTCGAATCCCGTCACCGAACATGTTCGTCCTTCCAGCCGTGCTGAGTGTTGCAATGTCCCGGTCAATCACACTTTTCGTTGCTAAACAGTAGCCCAAGAGTTGGCGGCGAATAATGTCAACAAGTTGCTTTCTTTCTAGTTTACCACTTCTAAGTTAGGGACTGCTAGTGCAGATAGCCC